AATAAAGTTAGTTGGAAGTCAGCGCTCTTTCTGTCTACCCTGTCCTTTTTTCCTTTGTTCGCGCGCTGAAACACCTTGCAAATATGATCACACAATGCATCACGAAATGGGGGCGTCCATCAATAGCAATTGATTATACACAGTGCTCTGGGCCCATATATTTGTATGACTAGTCATATTGCACCATCTACGCCTGTCTCGCATAGTAAACAGAAGTTGTACGACGATGACATTGCCCCCTTCAGGTGACACATACTCTTATAAGAAGTGGTATAACAGCGCAAATATACATATTCCACTGGACACCTGGATTAACTCAAACCTGTGAACTCTATTCAAGCACAATCAGCGTCAACGTCAAAACTGCTGAAATATAACCGGAAGGGTGTTCGTGTGCCTGTAACCCCCCCCCCTTCATTATTTGTCAAAGAGCAGACCTTCTTAGAAGAAGACTGCTAGGGAGGCGTCAGAATGTTTTCTTAATCTTAAATCCGTGTTATGCCTTAAACCATCGTGGTTTGTTGATTAAGAGCTCCCCGTTTGGTGTTATCAGGTTTTTATCTGCATTATACTGAGAGTGCCAACTTGAGTGCACTAAATCCAATATCAAGTAAGCCCTAATATGTGACCCTCTCTTTCGAGCTTTCCTGCTTTACGTATTCAATACCAACCAGAACAATTGGCTGCCCTACTAAGCAAAGCGCTCATAATCATTCCCGATGAGGTGTACATAAAAATAGATAAATGAAGTGATCTATAACTTGGTGAATACTAAAACTGCCACAAGAAATTACAAGGTTAAGAAGAATATGACTGTCTAGTCATGACATGAATAACGAGAAACCCTGTCTAGTACGCCCAGAAACCCTTCGCTTAAATCAAATAGAGCACATAACTATATGCAATGGGCTGCAGTATGTTGGTATGCTGCGCGGACTCGCAGGTTAACCCAAAACGACAAGAACAAGCATGCTTTTTTTGACGCAACAGCGTCAAAAAAAGCAGCATCAGCCACGTTTATCCGATCAATTCAAAGAATAAAAGATCCTAGCAGGAATCGAACCTAGGCATTCTACATTGAAGTCTAGAATTTTATCACAAAGTAACGCCATGTGTTACATCCAGAAATCCCAGCTTTGCCACAAAAGCGAAGCATTGAACACGATAGCAACAAATTGGAAGGTCACGTTCAGAATGGCAAGAAGATCGTAACGTGTCCCGCGTTTCTTAGAAACGAAACGGACTCACAGGTTCAGATGAACGCAAATAAGCGTCTTAGTTCTTACTTCGCTGTTTCTGAAAAGCGCGCTCTTTTCGAAAACGGAGACTACGCAACGATTACAGTCACTTTTGTGCGCCCGGGAACTGCTACAGAATCGTTCGGGTGAAAGCCAAAGGCCAGCTAAGACGTACAATCCTCCCCACCGCGAGATAAGCGCGTGTGACTGAGCGTCCACCCCTCCTCTCCGCGGAGCAAAGTACGCATGGGAGATGAGAGCACGCACCGCCACGTTGTGACAATGTGGCGACGCGTGCTTTATGCGCCATCTTTCTGGTAATGCTGAAAACACTAAGTGGTAAATATAAATATCTTGCTGTTTGAACGTTGAGGGACTTACTCCTCCGTGGCTTAATAAAGAAAAAAAAGCTCATCTGTGGTTCAGTGATTAACGCCTCGCACTTCAGAGGTCCCAATTCGATTCCGCGCACCGCAGTCTTTTTCTGGATTTTTTTTTCTTTTTGCGATTTCATATATATAGATACGTGCACATAGACGGTGAGTGACGGCGACGCCCACGTCGACGCCGACGCTGGGGGCAAAATCCAGCCGAGAGTGTCCATATAATTGCTATTGCAATAGAAAAAGAAACCGCCAGGCACCCGCCGAACTGACGCGCAAGCGCAGTGACAGCTGTAAGTGGGGCCTTCACCACGTATAGTCTGCTAATGCGCGGCGGCTTCATTAAATCACACTTGCTAATGCTAATGCAAATCGCTAATGCGACACGCTTCCCCAGAAGCGCAGCGACAACTCTTTGTTCTTTCCAACTGTTACGCCTCGTGTTTTTTTTCTTTGCGAGCGATTTCACGGTAAGCTTAAGCCCACCCATGAATAAAATCCCAAAACAGTGCTGAAGGTCGCACAACTATGCTACTCTTTTGCAGGTGCATGAGGAGAGTTTTTTTTTTTCGGAGGGGGGGGGGGGGGGGGGTCACCACTTTCAAAATGTCAGCCGAGCGAGAAAATGGGTATCTGGCTTCTTCTGTATGTTGAGCAAAAAAATTGGGGAGTGGGGAGATGGGGGAGGACATGGGCCTGATTACGCCACTATTTAGTTGCTTTGTACCCAGTCACCAGAATTTTCGAGCGGCTCATGCGATTGTTTAAGGGGCGAATCAGTTTAGGGGGGAGCCTTGTCCCTCACGCGTTGTCTGTTGTCCTGGCTAGCACACGCTGGGAGCGCCAGCCGCGAGCGCACAGATCGCACGCATAGAAGATTGATGTGATTGATATCTGGGGTTTAACGTCCCAGAACCCCTATATAATTATGAGAGACGCCGTAGTGGAGGGCTCCGGAAATTTTGACCACCTTGGGTTCTTTAACGTGCACTCAAATCTGAGCACACGGGCCTACAACAATTCCGCCTTCATTGGAAATGCAGCAGCCACAGCCGGGATCCGAACCCGCGACCTGCGGGCCAGCAGCACGTATAGAAGAGAACGATGATCGCGGGTGCGCTCGTGGCATGCTGTTTCTTTCGCTGCGGTGGTCAAAGAGCTATAAACATGCTTGCCCTCGGTTCTCTCTTTCTCATAGTCATAGAGTGCACTTCATTATAAAAGAAAGAAAGAAAAAGAAAGTGAAAAAAAGTATTACGGAGGGTAAGGATCTGCCGGACCTTCACCCACTCGTCATCATTCACTACGTGGATATGCTGCGATTTTTTTTCAGGCTGAATGTTATAGGCGCCACAAAATTGGCGATGAATGCATTTTAAGGTCTTACATAACAGCTATAAATCTGGGAAAATTTCCATTCATTAGTCGCTTGAAACCAAAGGATTTGGGCAGTGTGCTTATTATTTAAGAATAGTGGCACATCATTTGGGCGTTACCAGCACCATTGCCTTCATTCGCTGGCCTATATAAGTCGCCAACTCTTCTCTATTTTTTCCTTATTTACAACCGAGTTTTTCGTACGATTCCTGCGGGTAAATTATTAAAAAGAGCGTTCAAATAAAGCTTTCAGCAATTAGTCTACCGAAGAACCACTACTGTCAAATTTTTACTTTTGTCCGCAGGCACTGAATTGAGCTTAACTCCCTTTTTATTGCTACGTGATCCAGTGCCCAGCATCGCTTTTCATCGTTTGTGGCTTAAAAATTTGCATGCCGCGTAGTTTTCTTTGTGTATTCAATTCCAACTCTACTGTATTATCCACGTTATTGCGCAAACTTTCAGCTAATGAAAACAATCGTGGCAGTCGCGGGAATGTTCTGCTTAGCCCCCCAAAAAAACTAAGTTGATTAGTTAGGAAAACGCCAACGAATCTTCCATAATTTATTCATGTAAGCGCCAAGATTTATTTCCTGTGAGATTGTATGCAGAATAGAAAGAAAATACTAGGAGAAAAACTGGATTTTACGAGGCGCTATCGCTGCGCGTATCGAAACTCGTACGAAATTCTCAACTTGCGTGCGCATAGCGAGAGCGAAGTTAGCTGCACCGAAAAGCAAGCGCGATTCGGCGGAGCTGCCGTGCTTTAGCTGACGACGAGACGAAGGCCCCACTTACGGCTGTCACTGCGCTTGCACGCTAGTTTCCCAAGCGTCTGCGAAAGGCACTCCGCAGAGCGCTGGCCGCACAGTGCAGTGTTCAAGGTGGAAGTGGACGCGTCTGCTATGGTACAAGAACTTCAGTTCTGGTTCCAGATATATTCCAGTGTTCATCGACCCCCGAGAAATACAGTAATGAATTTTACCTATGATACCCAAGCATAGCGTCATTGAGTGCGATCACATCAGTATCACACATGGCATTCGTATTTCTGCATGGTCGAGCAAGGCGAAATGAATTGCACCATCGCGTGCGCTTTGTTGAAATAGAACTTAGGTCTGAGCTCTAACATGAGAGCTGCCGTTGCGACAGAACATAGATTACTATTTAAACACCAGTGCAGCCGGCGTGCGTAGCAAGCGCTTTGGGTGACAAAGCTACGCCATTTGAAGAATGCGTCAATCCACCTCGTAAAGCTCGACTCAAAACATAACCAGAAGATAGAGCACAGACAGGAACTCGCCAATTACTTCACATGAAGCCGATTTTCACTATGAGTGGAACCGGCCGAACTTTTTTTGCAAAGATACGTTTATATCACTTGGAAGTCAGACGAAATACCGATCAACAGTATAACACTATCAGGTGGACTTTCACCCGATCATGTAACGCAACTGCGATGCTAACACCTCGCTAGAAAGTGGGAACACACAAATACTGTTTAATGTTTCTTGTTCTTAAATTGTTTATGACTTTCTCATCGGTCCTACTGAACAGTATTCTACATTTTTCGCAATTTACACGCCAGTAACTTGTCGTTTCTATCCTGAACACCACGCGTGCAGACAAGCCTGCATACCTGCAGTTGTCGATAGTTTCGTCAGCGACAGCTTCCAAGTTCAGCAGCGCGAAGATGTGCTGGATGAGCGTGGCCCGGTCCTGGTACTGAACTCCACGGAGGGTCGCGTGAAGCACCATCGTTTGGTGCACCGTGAGCCGCCCCAGGAAAGCATCGTAATCGGGACAGAGTCCGATTAACTTCTCCCAGCGGGCCACTTCCTTGAGCGACACGGCACCGATGTAGGCTGTGCCTCCACTCGCGGGCTTGAAGCCCGACAAGACGTCTAGTAGGGTGGACTTGCCGCAGCCCAACATCCCCGTCACGGCGACCGTCTCACCGGGCTCCACGTGGAAAGTCACTCCACGGAGAGCGGCGTGCCGGTCAGTACACCTTCTTCAGGTCCAGCACAAGAAGCGAGGGCTTGTGGAGGTCGTGTCGCTCGACAACCTTGCTGACGTAGTCGAATTCTGCGAGCACGTCCGGAGACGTCTTCTCCGCGACAGGTGCCTGCGCCACGTCCGCCCGGATGAACCAGTGGCGCATCACGGCGTGTTCGACGAGCACGAGCAGCAGGAAGCACACCAAGCCTTCGAGAAACATCACCGTCATCTCTGTCATGGCACCGTCCCTGTCATCACCGCAAGAAAACAAATGAATGAAGAGGTCAGACGGATTCAACAGGCATTTTAGGCCTAGCAAAGTCCAAAGCGCGACCACGCTAAACAACGCAGTTCTTCTATAGGCCTCCATGTGCCTTCGAAATACTACTTCCAAGCACATTCCGCGGTTATTAGGGCGTCCGCAGCGGTCGAATGTTTGTTTTGCAACGCATTTTTAAGGTGGCTAGCTGTCCAGCATCATGTGGTACATAAAACAAGCAGAAAACATGAATTGTGACACCAATGCCAGGTCTCAATTGTGGCGAAGAAAAACATGTTTCGACCTTTGTGACCTTCGTGTGTGATGCGAACTTGGTGTCGGTGTGGCACAATTACTGTGTGTGTACGACCAGTAACACGTGTCCCCGATGCAATATAAAACGAGCGCGCCGGCGAACGCTGTCTGCTACCCGCCATGGTGGTGTAGTGACTGTAATACTCGACTGCTGAACCATATATCGCTGGGTTAAATCCCGGCCGTGGCGGCAGCGTTTTCTATGGAGTTAAAAATGCTTGATGCCCACGTGTTTAGCTTAAGGACCCCTGGTGGTCGAAATTTCCGGAGCTCCCTACTACGGCTTCTCTCCTAATAATATTGTGGTTTAGGAACGTTAAACTCCAAGCAGTACTAGTAAGCTGTATTTCAGTCTATTCCTCACTTACCAGTAACTTCGTTTCAACACCTGTTTGTGGCCGCAGTGCTGCTTTCTAGCCTACGTATGATTTACGTTCCACCGTTCAATGTTTCCGAAGTGTACAATATAAAATGGATCAACATTCTCAGTGGTTTCCATGACTCCTCGACTTGAAAAACACGCTGCGCCACGTTTCTTGAAGTTTCATGCACTGCTACTGAAAGCATTTGTGCGCAACACATAGAATCTTCCGCTGGCGGCGACGTGCTTCGGCGGGCGGCTTTCAAGAAGCTGAACCGACATATGCAGGACGTGATACCTGACCGCCGAGACGGAACAAAATGTGCCTTCCCGAGTTACCCTTGAAGAAGTACCGAAGTTTTAGGAGGAGTGCAAGACACCAACGCCTATGCAATGACTCTTTTGCAAATGGTATTCCTATACATCCCCATTACTGTCCCACCAATTGCAGAAGTAAGCAGCGCAACTTTGTGCAGGAGAACAGCGCTCCGTCACCGTTGTTTTTTTAACGTTGCCAGTCGACCATGACGTCAAAGTATACCTGTGGAACGACGTCCAGGATAGCGGTTGCACTGATGTCCGGTTGCTGTTGTAGAAAGTAGCGCAGCAGTAGCGAAGGCCAGTCATCATGATGGCGGCGTCCTGGGCGCTGTTTCTCACGAACGCGCACACGTCGTAGATGACGCTCAGGTCGGAGGTGTACGTGCAGTAGGCGTTTTCGAGGCTGAGTTGCACCACCTTCACGAGAGCCCACGAGGCACTGAACGGCGGACAGAAGTAGAGCAGCCAGAGCACTGAGTCTCGATCGTGCTCCTCGCTTATAAGATCCTGCCCACGTTCATTGTCGATCATGTACAGCTGGTATCCCAGTGTGGATACCATGCCTGCAGATAGGGAGGAGAAATTACTGCTGTAATTTTCGCTACGTTCACTGCACTATATCCTTCTGAAAACTTCCTGCGACGCATCAGACACGCCTAAAGGAATCAGAAGCGCCTAATTAACGCGTCAATAATGATACAGTGGGTTTTACGGGTATAGAGCTCCAGACCAGCGTAGCAGCTCTCATTTAAAATATTCTATTATCTGATCATACTAATCAACAATATCTAATGCTTTCATAATTTGGGCTACCGCTCGATTTGATATTCTGAGTTATAAAAGCTAACCAAATCTAGAACAATGCTCGCAGAACAACGTACTACCACGAAATGAAGATGGCATTTCCTTGCTGTCACGCTCCTTGTATCAAGTAGCGTTGTGTTCATGTACCATTATGGCGGTCAATCTCTGCTAACTAATTTTCCTCGTAATCTACAAAACCTATATTGAAGCAGTGGCCACCATCGGACGACCACCTTCATCATATATAGTGAGGAAAGAAACGTTTGAAACTCTTCAAGAGTACATGTACACTGCAAATAGAATCGCGAAGTGTCCCGCCATAACCAATACCATGATCAACTATAGGCACACGAATGGGCAATACACACAGCTGTCCACTAAGTCGAAGTTGCTGGCAATGCTGCTTCATTGTGCCTGAGCACTCTGTAATGGCGGGCGTTCGAACCACCTGCCCGCCATGCAGTTCGCATGGCGTGTCACCTGGCTCAATTATACTCTGCTGCTAACGGCATACTCGTCACACTCTATTTCACGCCTGTGTTGGATGTTTCCCGAATCCGTTTCGGTTACTGGCGTGGCTATGTGATAAAATACCATACCGCCACGCTGAACGCCCGAGTGCGATTGCCACTGCAATATGATATTTTTATTTGCAACAATCAGGATTTTCAACACCGCAATTTCTGCGGGAAACGCTCTCTAACGCTGTCGTTGATAGAGGACGCAGGGCTGGAGAGTCAGCTAATGAACTTCGCTCATTCAGATTAAGATCTCGGAGGTGACATTACTTGTTATTAAAACATATTTTGTTATTCAATACCTTAGCGGCAATATAAAATGTATGTTATGATGTTATATTATGTATGCAAGCCTCGAAAAGTATCATTTCAAAGAGATAACTTTAATCTAGACAGCATTATATGTTTTCAGGGTGGTTCGTTGGGCAGGATGTTGGCGGTTCTGTAAAAATGGCGTCACCCTAAAAGCGAAGATTTTATTCCTAGTTACTGCCTGTCAGACATTCGATTTCTTAATTAGTTGTAAGCAAATCTTTAGGGAACGGAAAAGTACCTAATCTAGTTTCCAAAATATTTCAGTTTAGAAACAACCTTGTTAGTAGATATTGGCGAAGCAGCTCGGAAATGTTAATTTTCTTGACAGGCTAGTTCACTTGAAAAGGGCCAACGGAGAAAAATGGCTCGAAAGATTTCAGAACAAGCACTTTATTTTGATGGTAACATTAACTTGACCAAGGTGATCTTCTGCATCAATAGAAACGTATTCCTAAACCCGAGGCTGTTCTGTGACAATTACATTCATCTCTTTCCATGTTTTCATCATGTTGTTTTGCAGCTTTCAATTTGTGGATATTCCCCCACAACACGAGTTGATCACTTAATGCACCACTCACTGATTCCAATGGAATCACCCGGGAATGAAATGCAGCTACGGCGAGTAGCGCACAAATACAGTTGGACTAACTAGTGATTGGTGCGAAACCAGGTGTGTATGGTCACTTGGTCTATTTCCGCAAACTAAAGCTTCTTTTCTGGTTTGTCAGTGACTCGGCTGTCAGCGTGGACAGAAGTTATGCATTTTTAAGTCGATTTCTTTTTCCTGTAGTGTTCTCCCGACCGAATGACTCTAAACGAGACGCGCGAGAAACAAGCGTGCTGAAACGAGCATTCCCTTCGCATTCAGTTTCTAGCCCACCTTGCAGCCCCGTGTTGAAAACAATGTTTCAGAAACGCTTTCGACACCAAAAGTGCGCCGCCATGTTGTGCAAAAATATGACTTCTTCCGCACCGACAGCAATCAAGCTTGGTAAGCATGTTCTTTTGAAGCATCATTATAAAACAACTTCACTGTGAAAATGCGTATATTTTTTTCTAAAATCGTTTCCTACCTCCACATGCCCTTTAAAATCGTGAACCACTTATTTCGGCAATTCATTCCCCAACACACGCTGCTCCAAACTGGTAACATAAACGATTGCCAACTAGATAATCAGAGTGATCGCTTTGTTTACTGACATCATTTGGCCGCAAATAATACACACACAGAGTAAAGAAACCCTCAAAGATAAGCACAAGCGGCGTTGAGTGTTTCTTTAACTCTGTGTGTGTATTATTTGCGGACAAGTCATGTCAGTAAGCAAGCACCTAACTAGGCCAACAATCAGTATTGATCGCCTTGTGCTGCTTCGAAAGGCAATAGGCGCGGCGTACTCACTAGAAAAGAAGGTTATTGCATGGACCACCATGAATCCGGATACCAGGGAGTCCGTGAGAAAAGAGTAGAAATAAACAAATGGCAGCATGCTGTGCATGAAGAGAGCATATGTGACCATAGCAATGACCACTGCAAGAAGAAAGAAAGAAGGTTGCAGATATGTTATACGTTCCAAGCTACAAATTAAATGTCGCCACGCTGTTTGTATGCGTTCTGTAAAACGTTAAAAGATCACTTTTCTTGAGGGAATCGCCATTCACGGTGTTGGAGCCATCCTTCAGCATGATCTAATCGCAACATATCGAATAAATGACTTCTCAATAAACGCTATCACCCGAGGACTATTTCTACACATGCATTTCACATCTATTGTGGGAACAGTAAGCTCTAATAAGCCGTACAATTTACTTCCTTGTTACGTGTTCTGACCTCTGTGACATGCACTTTGCAATCAAGTACGTTGCAGTCGGTGCCCACACCTCATTCCTGTCGGCAATGTGTCGATTTCTAAAGGCGTAATCGTTATCCCACCTGCATGGCTGTATGTAGATACCATACTATAGCGCACGTAAACGGCAGGCATTATGGGGAGAAATTTCGCTAAGTTAGTCCTACATGTTTAGGCAAAAACACAAAAATAACGCTTAAGGTTCAACCAATCTAAAAGTTCAGAAGCAGATGGGGGCGTAAGCGGTACACTCTTAGAAAAAAGTTAGTAACAAGTAGTAACTGCAGCGCTTACTACCTTTCTCGAACTATTACTACCCTTTTGCAACCTGTTTACTACCTACGTTAGTAAGCTGTTACTAGCTGCAGCCGTTACTAACTTTTTGCGACCTGTTTACTACCTACGTTAGTAAACAGTAACTGGAATGAAAGAGGTAGTAACTGCATTCATTGCTTCCTTTCTTGCTTCGTTACTAGTTTTTTCCTACCCGGCTGCTGACTATTTAATCCAAAACAGTGTTTGATTCCGATTTTGATAATTCATGAGAGGAATCGTCTCGACGTATCATCATTAATCGGGAAAATGACGCAGGAGATATCCATAGATCAAGAAAACAATTGTTTAAAGTACGCAACCGAGATATGTAAATGTTATTCTGATATTGTCGAAATGAAGAAGTACAAGTTAACCAACCATAAGCTAGTGCTACATGCATTGTAATAGACAATTACAACAAAATTAGTAAATTACAGAAAATTAACAAGACCGGTGGATCAAAATAACAAGACGGTCACAATTAATCTGGAGGACGGTCACAATTAATCCACTGTGGCGTTTCTCCAAATATTATTGTCGTTTTGGCACGTGAAACCATAAAACCGATTATTACCTTTTAACCGCTGATATACTAGCTGTGTGAAGCATTCAAATCCACTGAGACTATATTAATAAGTACGGTACCTTGTTTCGGCCACTGTAAATAATGCCTTTTTGTGGACTTTTTATAATAAAAAAGATATGACATATATTTTTTTTGAAAGTAAGGCTCATTAAAAGTTTTGTGCTACGTCCCCAATTACACGTACTCAGAGAGTATGATATAGTGCTCCAGATGCACATTTGCTATAATTCATCCAGAAAAAAAGTGCGTACCTGTGCCAAACATGCATCTGCAAAGTAGGGGCTATATATATCACACGTGTACTTCCTACTGTAGCGTAAAAATATAGTGAATATAGTGAATATAGAGAAAAATATAGTAAAAATATAGTGAACACAATAAAGTAAAAAAGTAAAAATATAGTGAACATTCAATAAAGAGAAAAAAATATATAGTGAACATGTTAGGTTCATTTATTCTTCGCGTTCATGGCTCACCACGCTTCATTGCCCGTAATTGTCTAGTAAGGAGACGTTCATTCACTTACATTAGCAGTGGAAATATGAAAATAAATGAACTAGGTAGTACCGGTGACTATTTTTTTAAAAACTATAAAAGTTACTACCCATCGGTGGTAACGGCTACGGTATTAACCGTTACTAAATGCTGGTAGTAACAGCAAAGGTAGTAACTGTTACCACCCTCGCCGTTACTAACTGCGCTTACTACCAGGGTTGTAACATATGTGCCAAACCGTTACTACCCCAAAGTTAGCAAGTACTACTACCTTTTTTTAAAAGTGTAGACGTTAAGAGAGAAATTTCGGCAGGCTATAGTCTTGCGCGTTTAAGCAGATGGGGGCTTCAAGCGATGAAAAAATGGGAAGTGTTTTATAACAAGCTGCAGTTACCAATGATTTTATAAGCCCATTATTGATGCACGCAAATCATCTTGTGTAAATTGGTTGAAAAATCCCATTAAAAGAAGAAACGTTCTCGGATTATACCATTACAAAAGCAAAAAGGCACTTTGTAATCTAGAAAACCTCCAAAAACAAAAATACTAGCAGCGGCACCCCCTTGAATATACCGCTCAGACCTGCCCCGCTCCTACAGCTGCCATTACGATTAACACTCAATCTATGGAAGAGTAGTTTAATGCCTTTTCCTGCCTTAAAAACAAATGTTTCTTTTTCCCGA